GAAGATATGGAGAGCTGAGTTCTTTAGCAGAATAAGGTGGCCATTCTCACTATGTGCTTCTTGCCCCATAATATTGTGGACAAAAATATTTGTGTAGATTCCAGACGAGATCTAGATACATTAACAGGAGACTTAAGTTCATGCTTGTGTTGGGAAGACCCTGATGCTTTACACCTCAACTGGAAAGCAGCCTTTTCCATGTTGCACAGCAGGCCATCCGTGTGGGGTGTGCCAGAGCGCTTGGCTGCTGGTGAATGGCCACTGCTATCCATTTCTCCACAGTAAAGGGTAAAAGGTGCATGCTGAGTTGTGCTGCAGCTGTCAGCTTTGACTTCCCCTTTCTGGTCTTTGCCCTGAGGAGTCCCTCTAAGGCAGACACATACCTGGGTTTGATGAGAAGTCCACTGCTCAGTTTGGGCGAATTAGCTAACAATCTTCTGCACGTAACATTTTACAAAAATGTATTTTGATAGTGTTATTTCCACTTAAAATTCTTAACAGCAGTCTTCATTCTGTGCGGGCTTTAAACCAGCTTGAAATTTGGCATCTTGTGCAGTCCAGGCTATCAAGTGGCTGCTTTTCCCATATAACTCTACATGTGGAGTAGCAGTCCTCAGCTGTGACTTGGTGTGGTGAGTTGCATCAGACGTTATTCTCTCAGTAACAGTTTTAATTCTTGGATATTTTCCCTACTGTAAGCAGTTTTGCGTGACCTTTGGGGCTGTGGACCAGAGATTGGGGACCGTTTGTGTAAACCTGAGTTTAAATGAATTAAAATACACACAAGATTTCTATAAAAATAACATGAAACTCACATGCACGCTAAATACTGAGGCCTCTAAGTCCTTCACAGAATGCAGCTTTTTGAATTAGAAATAGCATAAGAAAATACATGTGGAGCAAGTGTCAATGCCACAACCAGGTGTGATTTTGACAGCTTCAAATTTTGCACAGATGAACACATTTGTCAGAGACCACTGTTAGTTAAATTAAATTAGGCTAATATGCTCTTTTGAGCATAATTGAAATTATACTAATATTTTTATTGATTTGGCACCGGAGTAGGTGAATGCTCTGATGTCCTTGCTGCTGTGAGTACAATTTGCTGTTGTTCCACTTTACTGTCTGGTAATTCCCTGATATTATGGGACAGATAGACCTATTTTTAACTGTGTTAATTGGAACGAATTTCTGTTCTTTTTATAATTTAGACCAAAAGCAAGAAATACATTGTTGGATACCTCTTCCCCATAACTTTACCTGCAAATTGAAGATCATCTAATGCAAAGGAATTCTGAAGAACACTGAAGGTTTTCATCTGACACTCCAGTTTTAGGGGCAGGTTGTTTCATTGATCTTAAAGATCTTTCTTCTGTGTAAATAGTAAATACATAGCTTGTTGCAAATTATTTTTTCCTTTGTATCAATAAATATTAACTAATGCAAATCAGTTTTGATCTCTTTGATTTTAAATAACTTTAGAATTGATTTTCTAGCTTTCTGTGTGGTTTTGAAAATGCAGGTAGTTGTATGAGTTTGACTTGTAAATATTTATAGATAATGTAAGTTATCTTGAGTGGCTTCAAAGATGCCACCAACTGAAATTTTTCATCTGTTTCTTTGGAGTTGTTTAAACTTCATGGTATTAAACAAACCTAAGATATCTTTGGAGTTTCATGGAATCAAAGGGGGGAAAAAAGGAATTAAACCTAACGACCAGAAACCATTGTATCGAACATTTCTTTAATATGTCAGCTGGGAATACATGGGGTACTCTGCCATGCATGGATCAAACATCTAGTATAAATTTCGGAATATAAATACAGTGACGCTTGAGAGACCCCTTCCCCCTTCACCAGCAGTGGAGAATTAGGTTATGATTTTGAGGTCATATAGC